TCTCCCAAAACAGCAAGTCTCCCAAACTCGCACAGCCAGTTTCCTGTTACAGACTCAGGCCATCTTGTAGGTCCATGGGTGTCAGGTGTGGTCTGATTTGTTTAAAATGCCACAGGTGAATGGGCTTTGGTTTCTCTGCATGAATTCACTGATGCAAATGTGTTTTCTAGAACATATCTGGCACATTTGAAACTCTTACGGTTCATAAAAGTAAAGCTTAAAGCATAAGAAACACCATTTACTCTTTTCCATTTCTTTCTCAAGAACAACCAAAAGCAAACAAAACCAGTAGAAGGAAAGACCAAGTTCTTGAGTAATAGCAATAGCAGCAGCTGTTTGGGATCACACATTCAGACACAAAACTCGGATGAGAGCTGACACTGAATTCATGCCTCTGCGTTTGATTCTACACTGTGGGTTTTTGTTGTTTGCATTTTTTTTTCTTCTTAAGACAGGCTCTTTCTATGTGGCCCTGCTTGGCCCAGAGTTGTTTCACAGACCAAACTGGCACTGAACTATCAGAGACCTCACCTGTTTATGTCTCACCAAATGCTGGGATTAAAATCTTGTACCATCACCAGCTACATTTTGTGTTTTCTAAACTACAAAATCAAATTTTGACACCCCTCCCTTTTTTCTCCTATCTATGTCTAACTGTTTCAGAACCCAGAAAGGGCATAAGGGACCAAAAAATAAGTTTCCTATTCCCTCTGGTCAGTAGATGGTTTGTGGCTCTATCATCAGAAGAAGAGGCTTGGAATGTTGCAAACCAAAATAGATGCTGCAGGAGCTTGAGGCGAAGAGTGGAGTGTAGAAGCTTTGTACACATATTTTATTAAACTCTGAACTTGTTAGAAAGTGCATGCCATAGTACTAACGAACATAAGGAATGAGATTGCCAGTTTCTGGGTGTAGTGATATTTTATTTATAATTTAATAAATAAAGCTTACCTGATGACCAGAAGAACAAGCAGCCAGTCACTGGCTCTTACTTCTTCTTCAGTCTGAAAAGGGTAATCCTGCTTCCAGGAATCCTCAGAATGAGACTGAGTTTGGGAGTTGTCTCCTCTTGTCTTATAATCCTCCATAGATCAGAGAGTAAAGCAGCCTCTCTGGTCAGCCTTACAGACCAAGCAGTAATGGCACACACCTTTAATCCCAGTAGCCACACTAGTTTGCCATAGAAACCAGGCAGTAGTGATGCATACCTTTAATCCCACCACTAGAGAGGAATATAAAATGGAAGGAGACAGCTCTCAGGTGCAGTCTCATCCCAAAGATTCTTGGAGGCAGGATCTCCATTTTCAGATTGAAGGAGAGATAAGAACCTGTGGCTGGCTACTTTGTTTTTCTGGTCCCCAGGCAAGCTTTGTTTATTAAAATATAAGTGAAAGATCACTACATTTCTGTAGCTTACTCTTTAGTGAGAATCTAGTCATTCACCACACAATTCTATCATCTTCATTCACAACAGCCTAAATTGTTTTCTAAAGGTCTAAATTGTAGATTCCCTGGATCTCATCTCAATTTCCTTCTCTCTCACGTCTCCTCTGTTCTTCGTGTACATCTCATCCAGTCTATGCTTGCAACCATTTCTAAGATCTCCAGTCCAGGATTGCAGTGCTGCTGAATCTCATTAGTTTCAAAGCTGCAATTAAAACTGTCTGCTGGCCCCTTGCTTAGATATTCAAGAATGTTTTCATATTAACAGTCAGACTTCAATCCCCAACTCTCAATTATTCCTTGCTCCATATCTCACACACACTATCTATTTCTTAGGTATTGGCCCTCCTGTCACTCAAACTTATATTCATCATTGAATGTTCCATAATATAAGACAAACTACATTATTTGTAACTTAAAATAAAGACTAGCAAATATTTTCTATATAATGTTCAAAATCTAACCCTGGTGTGGCAGTTAATTGCCTATAGGTATGCAAGTTTATTTGCCCATTATGTCTAGTAGGTATAATTTCCCTCCTTTACTAAGGGAAAGAAAGGTCTTGCTCCCTCCAGGGAAGGCCCTTTCCACTTCAGACAGGAGTTGATCTCAGAGTTGATCTTCTGATCTCAATTCTGACCAACTGAATGAAATGAAAATGTCAACCTTCAGTTTTCAGTCCATGGCTGTGAAAAAAAATAATCTTTGAAGAAAGCAGAGGAGAGTCATGAGCAGGATTGATAGCTCTGAGGACAGGGCGGCATCCAGGAGCAGTTGTAGAAAACCTATAGCTACACACCTGCAGACTCAGCATCAAAGGCACCAATAATATCTACCACGTGGACGACGGTTAACTTGTGATTTATGGTTCAATGTTTCCGGTTAATACAGGGGGTCTTTAGATAGATGTTCATCTACATTAGTTGATTCCCAGTAAACTGACCTCAGATCTTCACAGTAAATACATCGTGTGTGTGTGTGTGTGTGTGTGTGTGTGTGTGTCCGGTAGATTTTCAGGTTTCACCAGAATGTATGCCAGTCTCCTTCCCCCATCCTGGTGAGCCTCTAGAAATTACTGTCCTGTATACCAAAGCATCTAGTTTTTCTTCCCAAAGTCAATGTCTCCCAGGAGAATTCACTTGTCTCTGTTTCACATCTTATTTTATACATCATCTGAACTAAGGGATCTGCAGATAATTGGTAAAATGTTCCTTTAAATTCCAGAAGGGAATTTCTGCAAGGTGTGAATAGTTGAATCAACAGAACATGAGCCCCACCAACGTGAGTAAGCATAATGTCATTGAGTGAGGATCTTAAAAGAAGGACAGATCCCTTCTCTCTTCTTGAGCTTAAACTTATAACTTCTACCATGCTTGGACATTGGCGCTGTGGTTTTTAATCCTCTCAGCTCAGATGGTGTTATACCATTGACACCGTGTTTGAACTGCATTGGGCCATGGCATTTCCTGAACCATCAGCTTGCAATGTGCAGGTCTGGAGCTTTAAAACATACATGATGATTTGAAGATCTGTCTCATAATAAATCTCTTTCAGTACATGCATATCTATTCATGTTTTCCCTTTTAACACTGTTGACTAAAATAAACATTATAGCACAATGATATACTTGTCTATCAATAGACTATTAAGAACAGATATAAAGATATTAGATTAATCATTATGATCTCTGGCCCTAGGATGTTGGCAGTTGCATCACAGACACTTAGATCACAATTTTGTTTTTATTAAATATATCTGGATTCTAAATATAGCATTTATGTACTTTATATAGAAGTTGTACAGTTTTAGATGAGTCTATGAAAATAGTGATAATCTCGATAAATTAGTTATTAGTCATAGCTGATAAGCATTGTCTACTATGTTTATTTATATATTTTGTTTTTGAAAGAATGTATAGTCTTAGCCGGTAAATTTTATCTATTATTATTACTTGGTTTTTTTAAGTCAGAGTTTTTCTGTAGCTTTGGAACTTGCTCTGTAAATCAGTCTGGCTTCAAATTCATAGAGATCCACCTATCTCTACCTCCCAAGTTTTGGGATCAAAGTCATGTGCCACCAATGCCTGGCTTGTTCGTATTTTTTTTTTTTGGTTTTGTTGCCTATTATTTTTATTTATATATTTTGCTTTTTACAGAATGCATAGAGAGTCCTAATTTACTTCTAGTTGTTATTATAAAATACCTTGACAAAAGTCACTTGAAGGGGAAAGAGTTTATTTTAGATCAGAATACCTGGTTTGCAAGAACTATAGGCAGTCAGTGACAACCAGTTAAGAGAATTTTAATGCTTGCATGCTGACTAATCATCTCACTTGATCTATCCAAGAACTTCTTGGGCCCAAATCAAGGAATGGTTCTACCTGTAGTTGGTTGAATCTTCCCATATCAATTAATGTAGTCAGGATAATCCCTGGAAGGCATGACCACAAACTAACCTGATCTAGACAATATCTCAGTGACATCCTTTCTCCGTGATTCTAGAATCTATCCAGTTGGCTTGTAAGACTAGTCAGCATGTATAACTACCAATATTCCTACGTTAATAAAGAATCATTCAGAATTTTTGTAGATGCGTAGAACTTTTCTTCTCTTGGTTTTAAATTTGTTCTGTAAGATGAGTTCTTCACTCTGTACATGGGATGGCTCTACCATCTAGCTTTACATAGTTCTAAATCTGGGAAGCTATGGCCGGGTCTTTTTCAAGAAACATTCCTCCCCAAGCTCAGAGATCACTGGCCTCCTCTATTGCAACTTACCCATATCAGAGAGCACATAGGTTAACTTCATGTAAATTGCTTTCCTTGACAAATATCCAAGTCGAAAAGAACATGAAAGAATTGGTCTTTTCTTTAGAGACCCAGCACTCTTTTGGAACAGAAACTGAAAGCTGCGGGAGGTTCCTTGATTATTCACTGTTTATTTTAATTGACAGCTCTCTGTGAGTCCAACATGTAGATGATTCAGATCAAAGCAAACATATGCTGCTTTACAAAATCAATGTTTCGTAATACTTAGCTGTTAACCATGCAGAATGGCATTGCCTGTTTTAATCTCGAGACTTGAAATAGAGACGTACATTAACGTTTTCTCTTTTGGTTTGGGTTTGTGAACTTCATGCCATGTCACGTGTCAAGTGACTGTGTAACTCAAAACTGCTTCTCCCTCTAGTGTCTTCAAGTAGTTATTGGTATATTTCTGTTCTGAGTTTTACTTCTGATCAAATCTCACTAGTTGCTGCAAAATAGCTTTTTAAGTAAAAGAGTCACAAACATGAATTCCCTCAATTCTACAAACTGATGTGGCTTTAGTTCAGGCAGAGTTTTCTCGCTGTACACTGCCACATGGCAGAGTTTCAAGTAGCACTTTTTCCCTTGCCATCCCTGTGAGTAGCTGTCCTGTGGTATGCTTTATTTACGTGTTTGGGTTTGGAGTCTGAATGGAAGCAGACTGATGTGAGGTGATGATTGCCTAAGTATACATACTTACGAACAGCCTCTGCATTCACAGAGTCATCTGGAAGACTGGTGTTCTGCTTACCTGAACTGTGGCTTCCTGCCAACAATGTAGGGCTCACAGAGCATCTGCCCATTCTGCTGGTGACCACAGGTGGACCTGGGGTTCCATCCCATTCTTGAGCTTTCATTGGCTCTCTGGAGGAAGCTGATCCATAATGACCTCTCTCTTTGCTGTCCAACTTTGGTAATGGCTCCGTGCTGTGGCTTCGGACTTTGAGCTCTTCAGTGGATTCTGTGTATTAACAAAATTAATTGTTATTTGAGAATTAAATCCTTCCTGAAATAGTTTTTAGAAACTTGAATGTTGTTTTAATGTGCTTCTAAGATACTATTGAAAACAGGGTTGTACTGTAGACCTTGGTTTTAAACTATCACAGGGAAATGGGTCCCTTGGGGGATTTTCTTCTCCAAGATGTGGGTATGTTAGCATCACCAGAATGAAAATCATTTTCTCTTTTGGTATACAATATCTCAATGAATCTCGACTCTTCTTTTTGAATCTCCCTTTGGTTTCATCTTTAAGGAACTCTCCGAAGGAGTGTGTTACCTTTCTTCCTCCTTTCTACTCCCTCTACTCTCCTTTACTGTGCTGTGTCATGAATACAAACCATCTATCCTCTAGTCCTGCTTTTGCTAAGCAAATACAGTGGGTTTCATTAGAAGAAATATTTACCACAATTTCTAGTGACTGGCCAATCTTCTACCATCATTTTTATGTTTTTAATTCTTTCCATTTCACAGATCCTTCCTTTCCCTGCATTTGCTCTGCATCAAACTCCTTTTCCACGCCATCTGTGATTTTCTTTTTCAATACATCCTTTGCACACTGGTCATCTCTAAGGTAATAGCTGATACACTGCCCTCACTCACGACAGATTCTTTGTATTATATTTATCCTTCTGATTTCAATAAAATCTCATCTAATTTTTAATGATTTTCCAAACTTTTCAACAAAAGATAAAACCTTTCTCCATAGTTTTACGTTCGTTATCTAATGAATGCACAAATTTAACATTTCAGATATGGTATAGACATTTCTCACTTAACTAAATGGCTCTTCCTAGCCATTCATTTATCCATGCTAAGAGATTGTCTGTTCTTCTCGCTAGCTAGTAAAGCCCAAACTCAAATCAATTAGGTAAAAGTGTATACTGTCTTTCTGAGCCTTTTCCCTTCCCTTCTCTATTTGATATCATGTCTACCTCAACAACCCTAGTTCAGACTCTTGAACTGAATTGTGTCTCTTTATTGGTCACAGCTGGCTTCCTTGACTTTGTCTTTGATATCCAAGGTAGAGTCACAACATCCATTTAAAATACACACGTGACCATAATATACTTTTGACAGGAATACTTTGAAGAGTGTCCAGTTCACAACACAATAGCTGAGTTCCTTATTAGATCCTGCCTTATTAGCCTTCCCTTTCTCTCTTAATCATTGTACCCAAGGAACAGTGCCAAAATGATCATAGCTTCTGTCACCCTCTTCCACTCCTGAGCAAAACAACACTGCCTGCTATGACTTCAAGCTCTCTGCTCTGACTACTGTAAATCTTGTCTTTGCTCTAGTTGGGCAAATCAACTGATGCTCAGTGACGTCAGTGACTTCTGAAGTGTCACCACTGCCAGGGTCATGCCTCCTGGTCAGCTGTACTGGAACATAGCATATTGGCTTTCCACATACTTATTTCCCTGCCAAACTCCAAATTCTTGAAAGCCACATGCTTTGGTTTTTCTTTTCTAAGGACTGGTTCCTCTATAAGCAAATATCTTGTTTAATTAGTATTTTACCTAATTACTTAGCCTGTTTGTCAACTCTTCAACCATCTCTCTGCTATGTATAGGCAATACAAAAATTGTAATGGAAACAGAGAACCAACTGATGATAAATGTACTAAAGTGGCATGAGCTTGGTAATTTTTTTTAAAAAAAATATCTGATCATTTGGTAACAATAATATATAAAATTCATCGAATTAGAAGTCTAATCCATATAAAGATTTTTTGATAAATAAATAGAAATAATTTAAAAGACTGTATTTTTGTTTTCTTGTCTTTTAATTTAGCTTCAATTGTTTCTCGGCTTTCAACAGGGTTAAACACAAATGTCATGTTTGATTTCTCATTATCTTGCTGTATGTGAAAAACTACAGCCTTCTGTGTATTGAGCAGCAATGGTCAGGGTTCTGAGGGCCTCACAGGGCTCCACTTGGCAGTGTTAGCAAGCAGTAATTATAGACAGAAAAGGGAAGTGGTAGACAGAAATAGCCCAGTTGGTTATTGGGCCTGTGATTGGCAGCAATGATTGGTCAACACTCTGCTATTTGTTACACGGGGATGCTTTTAAGTAAGAGTGCAGTTTGTTTATGCAGTTAGATTATAGAGAAGCACCTGTGGGTCAGATTTAATTTCTCATTTTAGCTGTTTTGCTCTCCGATTCCTCTGCCTGCTGTGAATCTCTGCCAAATGAAAGCCCTGAATAAACAGCATTTCTGTTCTCACTGGTCTGGTCGTCTTTTATTTTCACACTGCTCTAGCCCCTTGCTGCTCCAAGAAGCCCTGCAGCTATATAAATACTAAAATCACACTTTATGCAATGAACAAATCAGGAAGCTAGTCCAATCCAACTGCAATATCAGAAAGAGTTCAGGCCTCCAAAGACACCTGCTATAAATTTAGTTACACTGAACTCAAAATGACGAGTGAAAATATTTTAATGATAACATACTTAATCATAATTATTAGGACAAGAACATTTAACCAACACTTGCTATTCAGTGTCCTGAGACAAATAAATCAGGACCATACATGATAAACATAGGCCATTCCCAAGCAGTTTACTCACAGTCTCAAAGAAAATGCATCTTGGCTTCTAAACACCACTGCCTCAAATCTAAGGGCCTGTATGTTTCCCCCAAATTTCTCTTCCACAATCTTATTCAAGTGCTTGGGTACCTGTGCTGTTATCTCCTTATGGAGTAAGACTCCTCACCTCCCCTCTGTCTCTTCTGTCCTTCCTGTCTCCTTCTGACACATTCTTTTTAATAGTTCAACACATATACAAGAGCCTCTGGAGTTGGAACTTGCACGAATATCAATAAAAAGACAAAGAGTTCAAACACAAAGCTGCGTCCAATACTGCTTCTCTCAGATATTTTAGATACAGAGGGAGAAGTTTTGTGGAAAGGCATCTCCACCAAAGTTGGTTTCTTCATTCTTAGTCACATTACTCTTTCACAAATATCAGGGTACACTACTTAGGCCTTAAGTCTCATCTATTTAAAAGCCCAATACAGCTTTGGGAACAAGAAGGAACAGTACTTTTCTTCTTTGTGTGTTTCCTGTAAGTTCCAAGGATTAGTTTCAGTGAATTTTGGCAAATGTATTTTGAGAAACTTGAACAACAACAACAAAAAAAAAGTGAAGAGTCTTCACTATTCAGGTTCAATTAGAAAGCAGAGACAATATATTAGTAAAAAAAAAATAGCAGGGTGGTGGTGACACCTTTAATCTCAGCACTCGGGAGGGAGAGGCAAGAGAAACTTTGTGAGTTCAAAGCCAGCCTAATCTACAAGAGCTAGTTCCAGGAAAGGCTCCAAAGCTACAGAGAAAACCTGTCTTGAAAAACCAAAAAGAAAAAAGAAAAAGAAAATTATAGGCACATTCTGGAGCTTCTGTTTAGCAAAATGTCTTTTCCCCGTGTACATATTTAAGAATCGCTTTCAGACAGTTATCACATGGACTCACTCATAGGTGGTTTTTAAACATAAAGCAAAGAAAAGCAGCCTACAAACCACAAGCCCAGAGAACTTAGACAGCAATGGGGACACTAAGAGAGACTTACATGGATCTAATCTACATGGGAATTAGAAAAAGACAAGATCTCCTGAGTAAATTTTGAGCATGGAAACCTTGGGGGAGGGTTGAATGGGGAGAGGTTAAGAGGGGAGCAGAGAAAAATGTAGAGCTCAATAAAAATCAATTAAAAAATACGTAAAAGTAAAAAATAATTGCTTTCAAAACCAAGTAAGTTTTCTCATTAAAATAATGATAGAACTCTTCAAAATAACTGTCAAGATATATGTGGTAAGTGGACACCTGAACTAAGAACTAACTGGATTTAGACAATTGAATTAAAAACTACGCAATTAAGAAATACTGTGGGTTCAAAGATATTTATTCAGGAAGCAAATACAATTACCCATATCCAAATATTTTGATATTGTTTAAAATCATTTGGAACCATTTGTTTGTTTGTTTGTTTGTTTTTGGTTTGGTTTTTTGTTTTGTTTTCAAGTAAATGACTTTTATTTTTTCCCTTTGACATTTCACAGTCAGTTTCTACATAACTTCAAGCAATGTTTAAAGAATTCACATTTGGTAAATAGTCTATACCCCAAGGAGGTTGTAGCTGAAAAGCCACTTGAGTATATGTGCAAGAGTAACTTGTGTGAAACCAATTTTGAATCTAATAACATAAACTATCCACAAGATCCAGGTGGTGATGGTGCACAGCTTTAATGTTAGCACTTGGGAGGCAGAGGCAGGAAGATTTCTATGAGTTTGAGGCCAACCTGGTCTACAAAATCTAGTTCCAGGACAGTTAGGGCTATTACACAAAGAAACCCTGTCTTGAAAAAAAGAAAAAGAAAAACCCAAAATGAAAAAGTATATGTGAGAGAGATTCTTCTTATACACTGTGTGGACACCTTCTATAGAGTCATGGTGTCTCAGTGCCCTGTGTAGCAGCTCCCATTTGTAGAAAAGCAATGTCTATGTTCTGCACACCCTGTTCATCCAATGGATGACCATGCTAATGGTGATTGTGTGACTGATTAAAACTAGATACTTATTTCTTATATTTCTACATCCTGGAAGTTCATGACAGGAAGGACACAACTAGCGACAGCCTTCAGTAGGTCACCATCCCTTCGCAGAAGGTTGAAGGGAAAGAGAGAAAGCAAGAAGGGGGGGAGTGGAAGGAGGGAGGGAGACAGCACAATGAGAGAAGAGGGAAGGACAAAGAGGAATAGAGAAGTAAAGAGAAGCAAACTCATCTTTTATAGAAAACACACTCACATGAAACTTAATCCATTCCTGTGACACAGCGTTAATCTATTCACGAAGGAGAAGTTCTCAGTGCCTCACCTCCCTATCATTCCTACTGACAGGGGACACATGCCAATCATAGCAGTGTGCTTGTTTCTGAAGCATTCAGAACCAGCTTCTTTCTG